CGCTAGTACCAGCCTAATGACAACCAGCATACGCCAGTACCACCCTAATGACAACCAACAGACGCCAGTACAGCCTAATGACAACCAACAGACGCCAGTACCAGCCTGATGACAACCAACAGACGCTAGTACCAGCCTGATGACAACCAACAGATGCCAGTACCAGCCTGATGACATCCAGCATACGCCAGTACCAGCCTGATGACAACCAACAGATGCCAGTACCAGCCTGATGACATCCAGCATACGCCAGTACCAGCCTAATGACAACCAACAGACGCCAGTACCAGCCTAATGACAACCAACAGACGCCAGTACCATCCTGATGACAACCAACAGACGCCAGTACAGCCTGATGACAACCAGCACACGCCAGTACCAGCCTGATGATAACCAACAGCCGCCAGTACCAGCCTGATGACAACCAGCACACGCCAGTACCAGCCTGATGATAACCAACAGCCGCCAGTACCAGCTTGATGATAACCAACAGCCGCCAGTACAGCCTGATGACAACCAACAGACGCCATTACCAGCCTGATGACAACCAACAGACGCCAGTACCAGCCTGATAACAACCAACAGACGCCAGTACCAGCCTGATGACAACCAACAGCCGCCAGTACCAGCCTGATGACAACCAGCACACGCCAGTACCAGCCTGATGATAACCAACAGCCGCCAGTACCAGCTTGATGATAACCAACAGACGCCAGTACCAGCCTGATGACAACCAACAGCCGCCAGTACCAGCTTGATGACAACCAACAGACGCCAGTACCAGCCTGATGACAACCAACAGCCGCCAGTACCAGCTTGATGACAACCAACAGACGCCAGTACCAGCCTGACGATAACCAGCATACGCCAGTACCAGCCTGATGACAACCAACAGACGCCAGTACCAGCCTGAAGACAACCAACAGACGCCAGTACCAGCCTGACGATAACCAGCATACGCCAGTACCAGCCTGATGACAACCAGCACACGCCAGTACCAGCCTGATGACAACCAGCACACGTCAGTACCAGCCTGATGACAACCAGCACACGCCAGTACCAGCCTGATGACAACCAGCACACGCCAGTACCAGCCTGATGATAACCAACAGCCGCCAGTACCAGCTTGATGATAACCAACAGACGCCAGTACCAGCCTGATGACAACCAACACACGCCAGTACCAGCCTGATGACAACCAGCACACGCCAGTACCAGCCTGATGACAACCAGCACACGTCAGTACCAGCCTAATGACAACCAACACACTCCAGTACCAGCCTGATGACAACCAGCACACGCCAGTACCAGCCTGATGACAACCAGCACACGTCAGTACCAGCCTAATGACAACCAGCACACGCCAGTACCAGCCTGATGACAACCAGCACACGCCAGTACCAGCCTAATGACAACCAGAACACGCCAGTACCAGCCTGATGACAACCAGCACACGCCAGTACCAGCCTGATGACAACCAGCACACGCCAGTACCAGCCTGATGACAACCAACAGACGCCAGTACCAGCCTGATGACAACCAGCACACGCCAGTACCAGCCTGATGACAACCAGCACACGCCAGTACCAGCCTGATGACAACCAACACACGCCAGTACCAGCCTGATGACAACCAGCACACGCCAGTACCAGCCTGATGACAACCAGCACACGTCAGTACCAGCCTAATGACAACCAGCACACGCCAGTACCAGCCTGGTGACAACCAACAGCCGCCAGTACCAGCCTGATGATAACCAACAGACGCCAGTACCAGCCTGATGATAACCAACAGCCGCCAGTACCAGCCTGATGACAACCAGCACACGCCAGTACCAGCCTGATGACAACCAGCACACGCCAGTACCAGCCTGATGACAACCAGCACACGCTAGTACCAGCCTGATGACAACCAGCACACGCCAGTACCAGCCTGATGACAACCAGCACACGCCAGTACCAGCCTGATGACAACCAGCACACGCCAGTACCAGCCTGATGACAACCAGCACACGCCAGTACCAGCCTGATGATAACCAACAGACGCCAGTACCAGCCTGATGACAACCAGCACACGCCAGTACCAGCCTGATGACAACCAGCACACGCCAGTACCAGCCTGATGACAACCAGCACACGCCAGTACCAGCCTGATGACAACCAGCGCACGCCAGTACCAGCCTGATGACAACCAGCACACGCCAGTACCAGCCTGATGATAACCAACAGCCGCCAGTACCAGCCTGATGACAACCAGCACACGCCAGTACCAGCCTGATGACAACCAGCACACACCAGTACCAGCCTGATGATAACCAACACACACCAGTACCAGCCTGATGACAACCAGCACACGCCAGTACCAGCCTGATGACAACCAACAGCCGCCAGTACCAGCCTGATGATAACCAACAGCCGCCAGTACCAGCCTGATGATAACCAACAGCCGCCAGTACCAGCCTGATGACAACCAACAGCCGCCAGTACCAGCCTGATGACAACCAGCACACGCCAGTACCAGCCTGATGATAACCAACAGCCGCTAGTACCAGCCTGATGATAACCAACAGCCGCCAGTACCAGCCTGATGACAACCAACAGCCGCCAGTACCAGCCTGATGACAACCAACAGCCGCCAGTACCAGCCTGATGACACAAACATCTGTTAAATAATCTTCGTTAATTTTTAAAAATTCTGAAAGGATGGTGTTCAGAAAACATTCCACTTTCTAAACGACAATCTCGCAAACTGATTTTTCCCCATCTACTTTCTATCTCTCCTTTGATCTTCTCCACTGTGCTCCCTCACTACGCTTCTCTCTTCCCTTGTTATGTCTGCGGGTCGAGGCACCACTCAGCCAAATATAACCCAGGAGACACAAACCACCTGGACCTCATACCTAACAACTCTCTCTCTCACCTAATTATGGTTGCAGGGGTCGAGTCATAGCTCCTGGCCCCACCTTTTCACTGCTTACTCTCTAATATGTTTATTCAGTGACACCCATTTAATACGAGAACCATATATATATATATATATATATATATATATATATATATAATATATATATATATATATATATATATATATATATATGTATGTATGTATGTATGTCGTGCCGAATAAGTAAAACTGGTCAATTAGCAAGAACTCATTTAAAATTAAATCCTTTCTAAAATTTTCTCTTATACGTTTAAAGATATCTTTTTTTCATTTATGTTAATATAAAAATTAATAATTTTGTACCTAAAGAACCTTAGGAAACTTATATAACCTTATTATAACAAGCGCAATTTAATTTAGCCTAATCCAACTAAATATATTTTAGATAAGTTTACAATAATTTAATAATAAACAAACACAATGAAATATATTTTTTCGTTAGGTTCAGAATGATTTTTGCGAAATTATTGCATACACAAATTTTCGCTTGTCTTATCCAGCAAAAACAGAGTTGTTATTTAAGCCAAAATAGCAAGTTTTACCTATTCGGCACGACACACACACACACACACACACGGGGCCAGGAGCTCGGACTCGACCCCCGCAACCTCAACTAGGTGAGTACACATACACACACACACACACACACACACACACACACTTATATATATATATATAATATATATATATATATATATATATATATATATATATATATCGTGCCGAATATGTAAAACTGGTCAATTAGCAAGAACTCATTTAAAATTAAGTCCTTTCCAAAATTTTCTCTTATACGTTTAAAGATATGTTTTTTTCATTAACGTTAAAGTAAAAATTTTTAATTTTGCACCAAAAGAAACTTAGAAAACTTACCTAACCTTGTTATAACAAGAGCAATTTATTTTAGCCTAACCCAACTAAATATATTTTAGATTTGTTTACAGTAATACAATACTCAACAAACACAATGGAATATATTTTTTTTTCGTTAGGTTCAGAATGATTTTGGCGAAATTATTGCATACACAAATTTTCGCTTGTCTTATATGGCAAGATGAGCGTTGCTATTTAAGCCAAGATCGCAAGTTCTGCCTATTCGGCACGACATAGATATATATATATATATATATATATATATATATGAAACTATATTTTATATAATTTTGCAGTAATATATATGAGGTTTGATAGTGCAGGACAAGATGGCTAGCTGGTGATATATAAACATAACTCACATATCCGGTACTACACTGCACAACTAGTGTGTAATTTAGAAACATGCACACGTACATAGAGCAGCAGTGTTATTACAGATAATGTACAGTACAGAGAACCTAGGTCTTAGGCAGTGAAAACGTAGTTTTTAGGTTGTTACTCATTGGTAGGTGTAACCTGCCCCTGGCTCTCACACTCACATCTCTCCACAAGCAAGTATACATCTCGTAAAAGTATAAGCTATATATACACTATCACTTCAAATTTAATATATATTTTACAGTACAATGGACACTAGCCATATTTTTTTTTCCAAGATATTAGACTCGAGACATAACCCTAGATTTTGAGTTACAATATGTTTTTTACTGTAATTGATCAAGAGTTCTGATACATGTGACATTTCAGGAAAGGACAAATTTACATGTGAATTGTATGTATAGTTTTACATACCAAATGATGTTGATGATGGCTGCAGGTGTTTGAGGCACTGAATTTATTTGCCTCAGACTTTCCTAAGGCTTATGTCAAGTCGTTCACATCATAATTAACAGACAGTTTTACTTTCAGCATTTTTGTTATTGTTTTTTTTCGTTTTTGTCTGTTGATGGCCGGCATGCAATGTTTTGGTTCAGCCAGCACGGCTCTGTCTGCTGAAAAATAGATTTCTTTCATATACTCGACTCTACAGGATGAAACGATGGTGAAATTGTAAAGTTGGTAGGATATAGGAAAGCTCTTGACTACCATAATAATGAAGTGAGTGAGGTTAGTTAAGGTTGAGATCAGGTGTCTACTGGCACACCAGAGGCTGCGCTACACTCCATCACTTGGCTACTTACGAGGTCTTTATGGAGTTCCTTGCTGATCTTTGGAGTTAATTTCGTTGTGCCTACAAAAATAAAGAATATACCCAGTAATACAGATAGAGATTTTAGTACTATGGAGGCCATGGTTGCTAGCTAGACTGTCACAGTGCCAGTGTTTAGGCACCAACCTGCGCGCGCAATGCTGCCTCATCTTACCGCGCCTTCCATACCTGGTTTTTCACCTTCTCCAAGACTTATACGAGCATTATTCTACGTGCATCCGTGTTTCCTGTTAAGCAGTTACATAAATGATTAATAAGTACAGTACAGTTGTATGAAAGAGACTTCCACACTGACTTTTAAAGAATGTGGGTCTTCAGAGTGTAGAGTTGCCAGAGGTAGACACTTGACACTCTTCCTCGCTACTCTTTATTGATTTCATCTCTCTAGTGCCACATATCGATAACTCCCATGGAGCTCACGCTCTACCAGGCGATAAATGTCTATTAATATACGCAGCTTTTGTAAAAATTCAGAAAAAATTTGCTTTCCAAGGCATACATTTTAGTCTTCATAAAACTAACGAGTTTTGAAAGCAAATAACATTTGTGTTTATTATAGCACTTTATATTATTATAGCACTTTATATTATTATAGCACTTTATATTATTATAGCACTTTATGTTCCCCGAGTCTCAATGATAATGTTGAAGTACCAGTAAACTAATACAAAGACAGACCTCACGGACGAGACTCAAACTTTAGAAGATGTTTCGATCCGACTTGGACCATTAACAAGTGAATTGCTAATGGTTCATTTCTCACCGAAACGTCGTGATAACTTTCAGTTTCCTACGTGCGGGTTGTCTGTATGTTGTTCTGGCCACAGTAATGTGATCCTATGGAAATAAGTTACTTTGTCTAACATTTTAGGGTTATTATCCAAGGTAATTTACACTATGTATGATAATTGTACTTATGTGTACCTGTGTCTAAATAAATATAACTACTTCCGTCACTGTCATGTTCATAAATCAAAAGGCATTTATACTGTCCCATGAGGATTATATAACAGTCTTACAAGAACTTGCTCAATTAGCTAATAATTCCAATTATATTATGGATCAGCTGAGTTAGTCAGGGTTAATTCCGCTTACATAACCTTGTCTTTATAATCACGAGAAACGCGCAAGCGCAGTGATCATAGGGAGCCTGAAGAGGGTTTCGGGGGTCAACGCCCCCGCGGCCCGGTCTGAGACAAGGCCTCGTGGTGGATGAGGGTCTGATCAACCAAGCTGTTACTGCTGACCGCACGCAGACTGCCGTACGAATCACATCCCGGCTGGTCAGGTACTGACTTAAGTACCTGTCCAGCGCCTTCTTGAAGACAGCCAGGGGTCTATTGGTAATCCCCCTCTCGTATGATGGGAGACAGTTGAACAGTCTTGGGCCCTTGACACTTATTGTGTTGTCTCTCAGTGTACTCGTGGCGCCCCTGTTTTTCATTGCGGGAATGTTGCATTTCCTGCCGAGTCTTTTGCATATATAGGGAGTGATTTCCGTGTGCAAGTTTGGTACTAATCCCTTTAACATTTGCCAAGTGTATATTATTATGTATCCAGGGAATACAAATCAAGGGACTTCAACCGTTCCCAGAAATTTAGGGTCCTTATCGTACCTATGTGTGCCGTGAATGCTCTTTGGAAACTCTCCAGGTCAACAGTTTCGCCTGCTTTGAAGGGGGCCGTTAGTGTACAGCAGTAGTCCAGCCTAGAGAGAATAAACGATTTGAAGAGAATCATCATGGGCTTGGCGTCCCTAGTTTTGAAGGCTCTCATTATCCATCCTATCATTTTTCTAGCAGATACTAGGTGAGACTCTGACATTATCACTCTCAGGTCCTTCACATTACTTTTTCGCTCTATTGTATGGTTAGAATTTGTTGTATACCCTGAAACAGTTTTAGTTTCCTCAAGTTTTCCATATCTGAGTAGTTGAAATTTCTCTTTATTAAACTTCATATTGTTTTGAGTGGCCCACTTGAAGATTTGGTTGATGTCCGCTTGGAGTCTTGCGGTGTCTTCGATGGAGGACACAGTCATGACAATTCTGGTGTCATCCGCAAAGGAAGACACGGAGCTATGGCTTACATCACTGTCTATGTCAGATATGAGGATGATGAATAGGATGCGAGCGAGTACTGTGCCTTGTGGAACAGAGCTTTTCACCGTAGCTGCCTCAGACTTTACTCTGTTTACTCTTACTCTTTGTGTTCTATTTGTTAGGATGTTATAGATCCATCTACCAACTTTTCCTGTTATTCCTTTATCACGCATTTTGTGCGCTATTACACAATGGTCACACTTGTACATGACTTTCGCAAAATCTGTGTATACTACATCTACATTTTGTTTATCCTCTATAGCATCCAGGACCTTGTCGTAGTGGTCCAGTAGCTGGGACAGGCAGGAGCAACCTGCTCTAAACCCGTGTTGCCCTGGGTTGTGTAATTGATGGGTATCTAGGTGGTTGACGATCTTGCTTCTTAGAACCCTTTGAAAGATTTTTGGGGATGTTAGTGCTGTCGGTCTGTAGTTCTTTGCAATTGCATCACTGCCACCTTTGTAGAGTGGGACTATGTCTGTTGTTTTTAGCGAGCATGGGATGACCCCTGTGTCCATGCTCCCTCTCCATAGAATGCTGAAGGCACATGAGAGGGGCTTCTTGCAGTTTTTGATGAACACGGAGTTCTGTGAGTCTGGGCCTGGGGCAGAGTGCATGGGCATATCATTTATTGTGTTTTCAAAGTCTTGTGGTGTTAGGATAATATAAAAGATTTTTGAGATGACGAAATTTTGGGTCTCGTTCATAAAGAATTCATTTCGATTGTCTACCCTTAGTCTTGGTAACGGCTCGCTGAACACTGAGTCATCTGTATATTGCTGTCATCTGTCTATGTCCCATCTCGCCTAAGCAGGGGCCCAATGCTGGATGTTGTTTTTCCCTTAGATTTGGCATAAGAGAAGAAGTATTTTTTTTCAATTTCCTTTATGGCTTTTAGTTCTTCCTGAGATTGTTGTCTCCTGTAAGATTCCTTCAGCTTAAGTTCGATGTTTGCTGTTTCACTGACCAGTGTCTCCCTTCGTATTTCAGATATATTAGCCCCTCTCAGCAGCTCTGTGAATCTTCGCCGGGAGCGTCTCTCTCTTTCTAGTTTATATCTCTTTTTTTTTCTTAATGGGATGTGCCTTGAGCAGACCTCAAGAACCACAGAGTCAAGTTTTTATAGGCAAAGGTTCGGATCCGTGTTATTTAGGATATCCTCCCAGCTTGTTTCATTTAGGACATGTATGTTTTTGTTACTGAAGTTGAATTTTGGGTGAATGTAAGGTAATCAGGTGGTTTAATCCAAGGAAGGGGAGGTTTCCTACGTCAAGAACCTTCACCAGCACCAAGGTACCTAACCCTATTAACCTCTGCCACCCCACCCTACTCCCTTCAACAGGGGCATAATTTAAATATCACGAAATTAATTAAAATAAGTTACTCGGCTTAATCTGTTCATCTGTGGTGTCCACAGACCAGTGTTATTTTCTGGTGTGCCACGGACCAGTGTTATTCTGCGGTATCCCGCGGACCAGTGTTATTCTGTGGTGTCCCGTGCACCAGTGTCATTCTGTGGTGTCCCACGGACCAGTATTATTCAGTGGTATCCCACGGACCAGTATTATTCTGTGGTGTCCCACGGACCAGTATTATTCTGTGGTGTCCCACAGACCAGTGTATCAGTACTATTGAGTGTGATTATACTCGCTTTGAGAGGAGCTGTTATATTGGTTCAGATATAGTCAACTGAGGATGCACTCGTCTCGGAAATTCTTGTAGGCTTAGTAATAGCGAGTACCGGCGAGCAGTTGTAGACATGTTGTTAAGGATATCAATTACTTGAAGCTCTTCAGCTTGATCAAGGTTTATTTTGAAGTCACCAGCAGGTGACTAGATTAGATAAGTGTCCTTAACACATATATACGTGTGGTGCATGTAGTGTACCTTATTATTATATTATTGTGCATTTTTATTTTTCTTACTAGCTAATACCAGCTACCTCAAATACTTTTTACTTCTTTTTAATTGCTATTAATTGCTCCTGGCCCTATATCACTCACTTATTTACCCCTATCTCACCTATAGAATTTGTGCATGGGGCTCAACAACGATAAATCATCTCAGACCATTAATTACCCAACAAAAGGCTGCAGTCAGAATGAAAAATTCCCACTACAGACAGCACACTCCACCAATATTCAAAACTCTAAACCTACTCACCATACAAAACATCCATACTTATTACTGCACCTACTACATACATAGAACACTTAACTCTGACATAAACCTTCCCCTCAAACGTCTCCTTACCAACCTCAACAGAACACATGACCATAACACAAGGCACAGATCACTTTTTGATGTTCCTCGTGTCTATCTCACGCTATGCAAAAACTCAGTGCACATAAAAGGCCCAAAAATCTGGAATTCATTACCTGTGAATATAAAAGAAACACTGTTTATAAATTCAAGTCTCTTCTTAAAAACCACTTACTCACCCACAACTAAATAAATATTAAATAACTGTGTCTCATAAATGTATAACCTGTGACCCTATCAAACTGTTTTTTTTAATTACATTACCTAATAGAATACTCCATTCTACTGAAAGCACAGCAACACAGTAAATGACCATATGACCTGTCTTTGAAATACTCATTTGTGCTTAATTGTTATTTGTTTACAAAAATGTTTACCACTGAATATATCATTACTTAGTTAATCTTAAGTTTAATTTTAAGCCTGCCCATAATGCTCTGCATACAAGGGGCTTTTTGCATGTTACACTTAACCACTGTATTTCTTTGTACTTCTATGTATCATGTCCAAATTAATAATAAATAAATAAATAAATAAAGAAATAAAATGTTTGTTAAAGTGTTTGATAAGTACTAGTTTTTCAGATTGTCACTGAAGGTGGGAAATATTAGTATGAGGCATTCTGTAGCCTGCTCCAACTATAACAAGGGCCTTTACACACTAGATTTCACTCTCCCCCGTCCTCGTATTTTTGACGCCTATTTTGAGCGTTTGGAAGTATAGTACTGAGTTGTTGTTTTTTTTTTACACAAATCGGTTTTACAAGCTAAGGGCTGTTATCCTACCTCAGGGTTCTGGAAGCTATCCCAGCCATTCCAGGATGTTGGGAATGGGTTCAACAACTTTCGGTCACAGGGCACGTGAACATGCCAAATGGTCCTCGTTACCGTACACAAGTGTTGAAAATCTGAAGCTAGTTAGATGAGGCGTTCTAGAATTATGAGCGAAATAAAATCGAAAAGTTGAAGGAAGAAAAAAAAAAGAAAAAAAAAATAAGGCAGCCTCTTAAAGATGACCCGTCGTGGATAACTAATATCCAGTACGGGCTCAGAAATGCCAAAGCTTATTTTACCAATTTTTTTTTATGTGCCTCTCATTCCAAACCACTGTCCCTCATCTCCCCCGTCCAAAAACAACAACAACAACAACAAAAAAAAAACTTCTTATATCACAATTAAACTAAAGCTTCGCCTTGAAGCCAAGTATGATGCCTTAAGTTCTACTGATGTCTTAGTCACACACACAATCCCTTGCTGTCAGTTAGTAGTTTGGTGGCAATAATAAAAAAACTTCAGCTGATCTTCACAGACTTGAGAATGAGAGAGACTGACACCAGTCAGTCCACCTATCACCATTTATCATTCAGGAGGAGCCACATATATATGGTGGATCCAACAAAATCAGCAGACTCTTGATGTCACTAACACCCGACACTAACTGGGCTATAAGTATCTCTGGGAGGTTACATCATCACCAGCTGATGTAAACTTAACTAAATATAAACCTTGACAGATGGACAGTTGTCACACCTTGTGTCCTGATGTGCTGAACTAAGATCAAATTAATGAATTCAGACAACACTCACAAATATTTAAGAAATGTCGAAGTATTTTATCCAGTGATATATTACCAAACAGTCATGGAAATGAAACAGGAGAGAGAGAGAGAGAGAGAGAGAGAGAGAGAGAGAGAGAGAGAGAAGAGAGAGAGAGAGAGAGAGAGGGTTGGGTGGGGTGAATTTGCTTGGACTGCAGGAAAACCTTTGATACCGTACCCAACAAGAGACTATGCCAAACACTTGAGGTACAGACAAGAATAACAGGGAACATACTCTGGTGAATCAAAAATTTTCCCAGGGGAAGGAAGCAAAAAATGATTGTCCGGGAAGTTATTATAATGGGGAAAAGTAACAAAAGGGGTTCCACGAGGATTGGTACTAGGACCGGTACTGTTTCTGACTTATGTGAAGACCATTCTAGATAGGACTGAGTTAGAAGTATCCCTGTTTGCTGATGATGTAAAACTAATGATAAGGATACAAGCAAATGAGGATGAGGAAAGGTTGCAAATGGATTTGGACAAAATACAGGATTAGTAAGATAAGTTGTTGCTGGAATTCAACCTCAGCAGATGCAAAGCTATGAAGATTAGGGAAGGGGCCAGAAAACTACACAAAGAGACAGAGAGGCTACAGACCTCATTCAAAGAGAAATGCTTAGGAGTGACCATAGTGACCATATCCCCAAAGACTCACATCACCCGAATAAACTCTGCAGACAATGCTCGCTTGGAAAACATAGGAGTGGCCTTCAGGAATTTCAACAGAGTCATTCCGGTCTCTTTGTACGAACGTCATGCCCATCTCAGAATATGCGGCACCGGCATGGAACCCGCACCTGAGGAAGCTTGTTAAGAAACTGGAGAAAGTGCAGAGGTATGCAACGAGATTACTTCTGAAAACAAAATGCAACGAAATTAATCCTGGAACTAAGGTGCAACGAGATTAATTCCGGAACTAAGGTGTATGAACGTAAGGCGTATAATGTGCATCCTATGGGTCTTCAGATTATTGTGTATTTTGTATGTAAGGTAATTTTGAAATAAAGAACTGAATTGAACTGAGAGGCTGGCGGAATTAAATCTATCGACATTGGAGGCCAGAAGAACTAGAGGAATCATGATAACAGAAAATACTCAGAAGAAGTGATAGGGCAGACAGGAATAGGATGTTCGAGAGGTACTCGGAGGCAAAGTTGGAAAATGAAGACGCAGTTGAGCCACAGGAATATCAGGAAGTGTTTCTTCAGTCTCAGGAAGGTCGGGAAGCAGAATGATCTCAACGAAGAAGTAAAGGCAGACACCATGCATAGTTTTAAGAACAGGTACAACACAGCACACGAGGCTAGGAGGGAGTGAATCTGGCAAGCGGCAAGTTGAAAGGTGGGGCCAGGAGTTAAAACTCAACTCTGCAACCACATACAGGTGAGTACATATAGGTGAGTAGGGGTTTAACATAGGTAATACAACAAGAGTAGTGTATCTCTTAATGTATAAGTTTACTTTAATTCATATTTTAGGGATTAAAGTATCCTTGACTAGTGTGACGCGCAGCCTTAATGACCTTACTTATAATATCCAATATTTTAGTGAGGCATGGTTGAATTTAAGTAAATTTAAGTGGCATTGTTTCAGAATGGTTATTCTAGCACACAATGACACAGGGAGTGATAATAGTTCCTCTGGCAGAGTTTTAACTTAGGTTCAGTATTGCTGGTGATGCAAGCAGGCAAAAGTTACCCTCAAGTCTGCAAGTTTGTTGATATCTCCAGTCCAGTGATGATATCCTCCAGTTGTTTATGTCACTTCAGACTTTCTGGTGTGCGTGTGCTCACTTATATGTACTCACCTATATATGGTTGCAGGGGTCGACTCACAGCTCCTGACCCGCCGCTTCGCTGGTCGCTACTGTGTGTGCATTTGTACATTTAAATGTACTCTCCTATATGTGGTTGTAGAGGTCGAGTCTTAACTCCTAGCTCTCGTGGCTTATAGAACCTTATCGTACCTCTTCCTAGAGCTATGTATGGTCCTGCCTCTACCACTACACTCTCCAGGTCGTTTCACTTCCTGACGACTCTGAAGCTAAAGAAATACTCCTTAACTCCCCTGCGGCTCACCTGAGCTTCCAACTTTCGGCTGTGCCCTTGTGCTCCTATTTCCCATCTCTCAAACAATATGTCACTATTCATCTTATCAATTCATCTCAGTATTTTGTAAGTTGTTAACATATCCCTAGCCCTGTCCTCCAGTGTCATCAGGTTGAGTTCCCTTAACCTTTCCTCATATGACATACCCCTTCGCTCCGGGTTGCAAACTTTTGCACTTTCTCTAATTTTTTGACGTGCTTGACCAGGTGTGGGTTCCATACTAGTGCTGCATACTCCAATATGGGCCTGATGTACACGATGTACAGTGTCGTAAATGAATCGTTACTTAGATATCAAAACGCTATTCTCAGGTTTGCCAGGCGCCCATATGCTGCAGCAGTTATTTGGTTGATGTCCGCCTCAGGAGATGCTTAGTATAATACTCACCCCAAGATCCTTTTCCTTAAGTGAAGTTTGCAGCCTTTGATCCCAGAGCCTGTACTCCGTCTGTTGTCTTCATTGTCCTGACTCAAGCTTCATGACTTTGCACTTGGTTTACCTGGAGTTTACCTGGAGAGGGTTTCGGGGGTCAACGCCCCCGCGGCCCGGTCTGAGACCAGGCCTCATAGTGGATGAGGGTCTGATCAACCAGGCTGTTACTGCTGGCCGCACGTAAGCTGGGGTTAAACTCCAGGAGCCATTTGTCGGACCAGGCTTGCAACCTGTCCAGATTCCCTTGTAAACTTGCCTGATCCTCGCCTGACTATCCCTTCTGTCATGTCATTCACATATACAAGAAACAGCACCGGCCCTAAGACCGACCCTTGTGGAATCCCACTCTACGTTAATATCTGTAACTTGTTGCCTGAAGGTCCCAAATGTTCGCTGTCTGCCAGTCACTTCAAACAAACTGTTAAATAGCATCTTCTTATCTTAATGTGATCTCGACAGTAATATATTATAACAAATCCTGAAACCTACTGCTGTTATCCAATTTTGTTTCTGTTATTTTTCCAGCTTTCCTTCAACTCCCTTACCCCTCAAAGTAGGTTCCTTGATGCTGGTCAGGGGCTCTTGACCTAGGGAATTGTATCTGTGCTTCAGTTCCCTGAATTGACCCTGAATACTTTCCATCCCCACCCCCCGTGATTATAATAATTATAAAAATTCAGCTCCCATATATTATTAGATGCATATACCGTCTCATCATATTTTGCATTGTAATTTAAATAACTAGTACCGCTCACTCTGCTAAACTTGCCAGTTATATCTTCTTATTGTGAACTTGATTATGAATTAGTAAGTTTATTCAGGTATACATAAATACAGTTATCATACATGACAGTATATGTGTGGAGAACCAATATTAATATAACCCAGAAAAGTCAGACAAAGTAACTTATTTCCACTGGGGTCTTATAAGTTCAATATTTTTATTATGCACCCCATACCCATCTTGTGGGTGGTAGTCAAAAGATTACAGAGGTACATAATGGGTCCAGGGACTGGGCCCCAAAGTTATGATAGCTGAACTAGTTACAAAGGTAATGAACTCCAGGTAGATCTGGTCACAATCATGGCAACTTGCAAAGGTAATGAATCATCCTCACTCCTATACATGGTTACAATCGTGAACAAATTACAAAGTAATGAGCCACTGACACGTCCACATCTGGTCACAATTGTAATGAGTTATAAATACAAATATTAAGTGGATCATACACTCACACTAGCACACACACACACAACACACACACACACACACACACACACACACACAACACACACACACACACACACACACACACACACATGCACACAAACACACACACACAACACACACACACACACACACACACACACACACACACACACACACACACACACACACACACACACACACACACACACACACACACACACACACACACACACACACACATACACAATTTTGTAAGTGAGCCACAATTTTGTAAGTGATCTGGAAAATAAAAGCGTTGTGGTGCAGGCTAGTGTGTAAGGCGGCGTTGCCAAGTGTCACCCAAGAAAGGTAATAAAGTGAAACAATCGTGTGACCAGTGAAAGAAATACAGTGAATAGGGTACATTATTAACGAGAAGAAATTGAAGTGGATCTACGCCAGGACGTACATCGAGCTGGATCTACGCCAGGACGTCACATCGACCTGGACAATCTACAGTGCTACAGCTGCACTACAAGTACTGTATCACCTATGAGTGGTTGTTTGGGTGTGGGGTTCAGGTTCCAATTAACCGCCAAGCTGAATGTGAATGGTCTAACTCTCATAGCACGATAAAGAATAGGCACTCAAGTATTCAATAAGGTTTAGCAAATGGTAATCCATTGAACAAGGCGATTAACTCACTATAAGCAGGTCGATATAGGCAACACTGTAAGGGTGGGAGTCAGGTCACAAGAGGTTGTGGACACAAGCGACAACTGAGAATCTACATTACACTCCAAGCACAAGCCACCTACCTTTCAGACAAATAATAAACCCACACATAATTCGACACATAATTACACAAACACACACAGAACACAAGAAGAAAGGATGAAACTGAGAGAGATGGTACAAAGGCGAAAGGAGGAAAGAGAGGGGATGGAGAAGACAGACAGGAGATCCCAGACCCAGGAAGAAGATCTAATACAGCCTCCCTCACAACTTTCTATAGAAGCCTCCCAACCAGGTCAACCCCAGTGCAACCAAACACTCTAAATCAAAACACCCATGCCACATCCAATGCCCCCACCCACTACATTACAAACTTCACCCCCACAGCAACAACCCATAGTTCCTTACCAGGTCTCCCACTTCCCCAACCCCAATATACTTCCCAGACCACAGTCTTAGAAAAGAAGTTGAAGTGTGTGTATACAAATGCAGATGGAATAACAAACAAGTATGAGGAGTGGCACGAAAGAATCAAAGAGACATCCCCAGACTATAATAGCACTCACAGAAACAAAACTCACCAGAATAATAACAGATTCAATCTTTCCATCCGGATATCAAATCTTCAGGAAAGACAGAGGGAGGAGAGGGGGAGGAGGAGTTGCACTGCTCATTAAAAACCAGTGGGGTTTTGAGAAAATGGAAGGAATGGATGGCATGGGCGAAAGGGACTACTTAGTAGGAACAATCCAGTCTGAGGGACATAAGGTTGATAATTGCAGTAATGTACAACCCACCACAGAACTGCAGGAGGCCAAGAGAAGAATACGATGAGAGCAACAGAGCAATGATCAACACACTAGCCGAGGTGGCCAGGAGAGCACACATGGGGGGAGCAAAGTTACTAGTTATGGGTGATTTCAATCACAAGGAGATTGACTGGGAAAACCTGGAGCCCCATGGGGGTCCCGAAACATGGAGAGCCAAGATGATGGATGTGGTACTGGAGAACCTCATGCATCAACATGTTAGAGACACTACCAGAGAGAGAGGAGAGGATGAACCAGCAAGGTTGGACCTTGTATTCACCATGAGTAGTTCGGACATCGAGGGTATCATGTATGAAAGGCCCCTGGGAGCTAGTGATCATGTGGTTCTGTGCTTCGACTACATAGTTGAGCTCCAAGTGGAGAGAGTAGCAGAAATAGGCTGGGAAAAACCAAACTACAAAAGGGGGAACTACTCAGGCATGAGGAACTTCCTTCAAGACATTCAGTGGGAGAGGGAACTGACAGGAAAACCAGTACAAGAAATGATGGACTATGTAGCAACAAAATGCAAGGAGGCAGAGGAGAGGTTTTGTTCCCAGGGAAACAGAAATAATGGGAAGAATCAAAACGAGTCCTTGGTTTCACCAAAAGGGTGTATG